ATTTTTAAAGGTACTAAAAATCAGGCAAAAGACACTGTACTATAGCACAGGGTATTTCATCAAAAATGGCCAAAATTGACTAGGAGAGAATTTTTCATTTTTTAAATTTTTTTTCTGATGCATACTCATGTTTTAATTTTGTGTAGACAGTTTAAGTTGATTCCGATCAAAATTAATTTTTAATGAATTTTTAAAGTTCCTCAAAAATTGGACCAAGGACCCTGTACTATTACTACAAGGTATTTAACTTTCTATTCTATACAATAGTAGAACATCTAAATGTATACGCATCAAAAAAATTAAATGGAGAATTCCCTCCTAGTCACTTTTGACTAATAATTGCGCACATTAATTTTATTAATTTCCCTATAGGTGATCCTATAGGATCTAACACAATTATTGAAGTTGGAGAATGGCTTGAAAAATCTGATATAGATGCATCTAGACTTGCTGAAGTACTACAAACTGAAGCACCTCCAGATCTTAGTGACAAAAAGAAAGCTGCCATGATAATCCTGTTGGCTTGGGAGGAGAAATGTGATAACACTTCTCTTCTGGAAGAAAAATTGGAGGAAATAGGAATGACACAACCCCACAAGTAGCACTATACTAAATTATAGTATAAACTCATGCATGTGTGTGAACTAAAAAATAGATACAGATTTTATTTATAAAGCAATTTTCAAATTTTTAATAATATTTTATAGCAACCATTAAAGTTATCTGGGTCACTACTGATCATACTGTGAATAAACAACACCTATGGAGATAATAATAATAATGATTGAGTTAATAGAAGCATGTTTTGTAGCAAAACACAACAGTTTCTCATAGCAGTAGCAGATGCAAGATCCCTAGAAACCAACTTTTAAATTGATCAATACTTATGCATACCAATGAAAATGGTTTTATGTAGTACATGCATGTACAATATTGTTATTTATATTTTTATAGATTCTTTCAAGGCCTCCAAGTTAGCCAATCTTGTAGTTAAGTTGTCAGAAAGGATTGTGCATGACAAAAGTCAACTCAAGCTGTTGAATATTATTGCAAACAAAAAAAGGAAATTTGGGATAATATAAAAGTGAAGAATGATGGATTGGTAGCATTCCTAATGTTGCTGATGCACTGGATGGAGAACTGCAAGGGATTAAAGACTGAGCTTGAAGTGCGCCTTTAAAGCTTTACATATTTACAATAAAAATTCTTTTAATTCATTGATTTTAGGCTGCTTTATTTATTTATTTCCTGAATTTACGTTATTAATGTGTTGGGTGTGGAAATCTAAATCTAAATTAATATTCACTAATTTAATTATTTTGTTTTCATGTTTTGACTTTTGGGAAAGAATCAATCAATGGCTGACAACCGATCTGACAACAGAGGTAAGTTGGTTTTACACTTATAATCAGTTAATTAATGTACATGCATACTTAGAGGATGATTATCTAACTGAACCTGAACCAGTTGCCGTTAGTCCTGCTGCTGATGAAGGTGGCTCTCGGTTTCTAACAAGCGACGGCGGGGAGTATGTTTACCAGGAAACAAGTGATTTTGATGATGTCGTTGAGGATATACCTGTCTCGCTTCTTATCAAACCACTTAGTAGGTCTTCTATGATTAGTGCCAAAATTTGTATAACTTAATCATGGTTTCCCACAAAGCATGCTAAGTGAAGTAACTTGAACAGCATGAGTGTCATGATAAGCAGGGAGGTGGCTAAACAAAACTAGCTTCAGTAGCCACGTACTTGTGTCGACAGTATCGTGCTAGCGTGTCAAGCTAGCACGATGTCGACACAAGTACATGGCTTTGGGGCAACTTTTAAATCAATTTTGATCAAAATCAACTCAAACTTGCTAAAGGCCTTTTCACACTGGCACAAGTAATCCACATTGATGTGCATTAATCGTGTTCACACTAGAGTGGTTTTCAATTGATGCACATCAGTCTCACTTCACCTCCAGAGGTGGATTGATGTGAAGTGATGCGCTTTGATCAATGTGCATCAAAGCGCTTTGAAAATTGTGCCAGTGTGAAAAGGCCTCTAGTGTGAACACGATCAATGCACATTATTTCAGCTGTATCAACAAAGCGCATCAAAGCACTTTGAAAACTGTGCCAGTGTGAAAAGGCCTTAAATAACATAAGAACATGTATATGTAACAGAAGAAATTAATCATAATTTTCTCCTAGTCATTTTTGACAAAATTTGGCCAAAGACCCTGTACTATCGGGCTGTCTATGTTGGTTGCTTTTTATGTAACGCAGGGGAGTGTTAACATAAAATCGCTAATGTCTTAAGAGGGTAAGCTAAGAGCTAGTTAATGGCATGGTATGTTAGATGATTGTAATCAACAAACCACAAAGACATTGGGACATTGTACTTAATATTTGGGGGTTAGTATGTTAATCGAATTGGAATTATCCGCGCCAGGGCCAATGTTGGGGAGCAACCAATTATATAATGTGATTGTGATGGCACATGCATTTGTCATGATATTTGTTATGGTGATGCCGGTAATAATAGGGAGATTTGGGAATTGATTGGTGCCGTTGTATATATGGGCGCAGGACATGACATTTCGACGACTAAATAGCATATGTTTCTGGTTATTGCTACGTTATTATTAGGTTCCGCCTTTATAGAACAAGGGGTGGGGACAGGGTGAACAGTATATCCACCACTGGCAAGCGTATACAAGGACTTTGGCCCAATTTTTGAGTAACTTTTAAAATTTGTAAAAAAATCCAATTTTTTGAATCAGCTCAAAATTTCCATGCAGCACAAGAACGTGTACCATAGGGTGCCTTTTTTCGAGGGCTATAAATTTCGCGGATTTCACGATTTTTTTAAAGATTCGCGAAAATTACTTTCGTGAAAATCAAATTAATATGGTACATGATAGCAGATGGCATAAATTCGTGAAAATTAAATCCGCGAAATAAAAATCCACGAAATTTATAGCCCTTGAAAAAAAGGCGCCCTACGGTATGTGTATTACAAAATTATAAAAATTGAAAATATTTTCCATGGATTTTTGAAAAATACCCTGTGTATTTGTCAAAATTTTGAGCAACTTTAAAATCCACTGACCTGCATGAGCACTATGGGAAACCCTGAAATAATTTCTGGGCAGTGCTAGCCAAAATTCATATTTGGAATGAAAACAATCTATTTTGCATCACACAAACAACTTAATCTTAGAGCCAAAAAAGATGAGTTGTTGGCAAAGAATTAATAATGGTAATTAGTAGCTCTGCGAAGATATTGCCATAAAATAGCTGTTTTGTTTCAATCTGAGCATGCTCAATGACACATTGCACAAAATTGCCATTATAAAATGTACCTATCACTTTCTACCTATCACCTATTTTTTCTGATGCATTATTGTTGTTATTTTTGCCATGAGTTTACCACACCTATCACTTTGCACAAAAAAATTTGCCAAATATTACTCTTATCTATTAGTCAATTAATGCTATGCATATTTTATTATTAGAGGAGAAGATATCCCATGAAATATTTTGGAGACTCATCCTCAATGAAAAGGTTCCAGTGACGACAAGCCTTGTAGCAGTCATGGGTTTACCTAACTGTGGAAAGACAACAGTTTTGGAATCAGTTCTCAAACAAAAGATAGAATTAAAGGATGAGGCAGAATTAGAAATCAATCATTATTTAAACAGAAAGAGAGATGAGAAGTGTCTGTCGATATATGATTTATGTGCTCTCGGCAGTACACACCATACATTTGCCTGGTCCTTTGCCACCAATCGATATGGAGCAATATTTTCGATTCTTTGTGGTCTCATTCGCCGAAACCCATGTGTAGGAGGTATCAAGTTTGAAATAACCAGCCAGCCACCAAAATCTGTCATGGATAAGCACATTCGATGGTTGCAGAGCAAGACTAAAGAGTTACTAGAGGGCATTAAAGATGATCCTGGCAAGGTGACCCTCATTCATGATGGTGTCTCTTTTATTAATGCAATTGATGTTGGTGTCAATAAGGCTCTCTACCCATTTTTAGCTGTGATGTTGCTGCATTGCCATCGACACATTTGTCTTGCTTTCTTTTCGATGAATAGAGATGGACCTAATCTTGATGAGTATGCTGACCTACCTTCTGATCGCTATGGAGGGAGAAATGATGATGTTTTAATTATGAAAAAAAGGTCACGACTCACGTATCTCCTCCATTTTGCTACAGTTGGTTACACTCAGCAACAGCGCAATCAGGAAGAAGTACAGAATGCCACTGTTATGGTTGCAACAAGAAATGAACCGCTTGAAGATCCGAAGAGAGTGGATCAAGCAGAATCGCTTGAAGATCCCAAGATAGTGGATCAAGCAGAATTGCTTGAAGATCCCAAGATAGCGGATCAAGCAGAATCGCTTGAAGATCCCAAGATAGTGGATCAAGCAGAATTGCTTGAAGATCCCAAGATAGCGGATCAAGCAGAATCGCTTAAAGATCCCAAGATAGTGGATCAAGCAGAATCGCTTGAAGATCCCAAGATAGCGGATCAAGCAGAATCGCTTAAAGATCCCAAGATAGTGGATCAAGCAGAATCGCTTGAAGATCCCAAGATAGCAGATCAAGCAGAATCGCTTAAAGATCCCAAGATAGTGGATCAAGCCAAAAACAAAATCATCAAGCAAGCAGAATCACGGAATGTAGACCAGTTTCTAAAGAACTGGTTAGAGGTTGATGTCAATGATGAACGATCCATAGAAAAATTTGGAGAGAAGATGGAAGACCTCATCAAATACAAGTACAAGCAGCGTACCCTACTCCTTCCCCTCAGATGGATAGTGCTGAGGAGTCTAGTGGTATCACTTGACAGTAAAGGAGCAAAAGTTATGATTTTGCGTAAGAGTTTCATTATACAAAAAGCAATAGAGCTGGAGATGACAAAGAAAGAAGTTGATGATTTTTTAAAAACATTCACAGATTTCGGAAGCATCCTCTACATGCCTCAGTATGAAAAAGTTGAAGATATTGTCATTGTCAATATTTGGGAGTTCACTCAGTACCTGGATAAGCTTTATTATCCTCAGGAAAAAGAACCGTATGCTCCCAATCTGTTGAAGTATGGGATCATATCAGAATCTTCTGTCAAAAAAATTTTTTGCAAGCATCCAGAGAGTGCTGATGATTTTATGACAGTTCTTACAACAATTGCAATGGCCTCTAAAATTAAAAGTGGGAAGTCTATCTTCATTGATGATCAGCAGCAACCTGATGAGGTACACTATTATTTACCGTTAGCAAGAACTCGTGCAGAATATACACCATCAGAAGAAGAGAATGATTATGCTTTCATTGAGATAGAGAGTGTCAACTTCCCAGCCAATGTACAAGCTTGCATTAGCTACGCCATCATGGATAACAACAAAGATGCTGTTCTTATTGCCACAGACTACAGCAACATCTCACGGTTTCTATTCCAATCTGAGAGTGGCCCTCCCATTGAAATAGAGATGATATACAAAGGAAGCAAGACAAGATTAAGAATAATGAACAACTCTAACGACATACTCACATCTCCAGCAACAGTTGAAGCATGCAAAAAAGTTATTGCTGGTTCTTGCAGATGTCTTGACAGAAAAATTAATACGATACGTGACCTCAAATACAGTTTTGCTGTTCCGTGTGCATCTCCTAAAGGTGGATGTCATTTTCTCTATTATGATCGTGAGCCTCAGCTCTGTGATGCTTGCTCAGCTGGAAATAATTTCAGATTATGTTGGAGCAAAGCAGTAAAACAGGTATAATGATAGCACATACTAAGGAGCAAGTTTATTTACAATAAAATAATTATCTATGTGTCATTACTCATTAGTTGTGTTTTTATTGTTGTGTATTTTATTTCATGTAGTGTGACTTGTTAAGCAAAGGTGGTGAAGCAAGAACAAATGAAAGCAAGTATTAATTCAGTTACAGTACATTGATATTATGATTATTTTTTAGATGATCTACTGAGCTTTCAAGACATTTCTGGCATTATTACAGGCAAATATGAATTTGAGGCCTTTAAAAAAGCATTGAACATTGATGAAAGTAAATTCCCTGAATTGAGTAGTCCAGGAAATGAGGATGGCAGGAAGAAAGCAATGATGTTGATGCTGCTATTGTGGGAAAAACAAACAGACAAGCCTACTAGGCATGCTCTGATGGATAAATTAAAAGAGAATGGGTGTGATGATATTGCTGAGAAACTTAAAAACACTAGTATAGCATATTAGTTTTGAAAAACTGTAGTTGCTAGTAAATTCCGTCTTATTTTTGCATTATTATAATATTTTTAGCTGTATTTTCAATTTTAAATTATAGATTCCATTGTTGGGCGTGGCTCATAAATTTTTGTCATAGTCATTTTGGTTTTGACAACCACTTCACTGATTGCAGAGATGAGTAGAACTCAAGGTAGAACAATAGACAGTGGAACTCGAGGCATGACTTCTAATCTTGACAATGAAAGTCCTGGTGGTAATGCAGTGGAAGATTTGACGCAAAACTTGCCTCTCGCCGTAAGTAAATGTATTGTACATATATCTAACAATTCTAATTTTAAATTAACATGTAGTGGTCCAGTCCTGGTTTAGATCAAACCTGTGACAATGCAGTGCCTAAGAACACAGAAGAAGATATTTCTTCCTTATTGGGCCTGAGAAAATGTGTAAGTCATATCTTGGCAAAATCCCACCCTCATAAAACTACACTTTGTGACCATTCATGCATGCAAGGCTTGAACAGATTGTGTTTGCGGCCTGTAGCTGTTCACAGTAAAGGTGGATTTATAATTATTATTATACCAGACCTGATGTTGCGTTGACACTGCATGATTTAACTCTAATCATGTGTCAAAAGATCCACAATTGTCTAATAATGCTTTTGACTGAATTAAATTGATATGGTATGCTGGCCTAAACTGGTGCCAGATTGTAAATCCTCATCAAAAAGTAGTTGTGGCCCATGGTTTTGGGTGGTAAGGAAGTTGTAAAAATTCCTGAGGTTTAATTTTTATGGTTTCATTTGTTCATTTGTAATTCACTTACTATAATTTAGGTGCCATTCTTCTTCTCATCCCCGGAAGGCCATTCAAAGTCAGAGTTATTTCTCAGCACTCACGTTTTCAGTGAGGCTTTATCATCTTTGCCGTCACATTTTGATCGGCGTCAGTTACTCGATTTCTGTCTTTCCCTCAAAATTATTTCAAAGGAATCTCATTCACATTTGCTGCAATTAGAAACTATGACATTTCCACTGGATTGCACTTTTCTTCCTGCCTCAGAAACAATTGAAAGTTTTGACAATGTTTTGAAACTTTGGAATGGTAAGAAACTTATTGTGTCTTTCATTTTTTATTTCTATTTTGTTTCAGCAACTGAAATTATTGTGCAGCAGCTTCAGTTAGCTGCACAGTATCTAAAAGATGAAATCACTGATGCTTTACTCATTATCCTCTCATTTCGTATTTCTGCTGATCACATACAACCTCTTGCTGACTGCCTCAGTTGCTCTGTTCCTGAATCTAGTGAGTCAGTGTCTTATAAAGCTCTTAAAATTCTGTGGGACTGGAGGGACAAGGAAGCACTGCATGCCAATTGTCGTACATTAGTTAAAGCGTTTCTTGCGTCTGAGATGATACCAATTGATATTACCAGATTTGTCATTAGTTATATCAAATCAGAGCATCAGGTTCAGATATCAGTCACTTCAAGCAGTAAAAATGAAGGGGACGAACCATCTATAACACAACTGAGACTAAACTTTGCACAGTCGTACATTAAAGTTATTGAAGATATCGCACAAGAGCGCATAATCGATTGGCTGAAAGTGACAAGTGAAACTGATATTCACGTTTTCATCCTGAAGCGCTGCAACTGGGTTAATTATGACCTTCTAGAAGAGCTCGATAATGACCTTGGAAATAATAAGGTTTTTGCTATGTATGTTGAGCAATATAAGAGCACTATGAAAGATTTTAAAGTATTTCAAATTCCTTCACAATCTATTCCTGCTGTTCTGGCATCTGGTTACTCTATTTTTTTCATTCTTATTCAACCACCAATGCGAGATCTTTATTCTGGCTCGGTATTACATGAAATAAAATTGAAGTTGTCAAAGAAATTGAATACAGAAGCTGTACACATTTTAATCAGTGGCATTGTCGTCGATGAAGCAAGTCTATGGATTTGTATTTCAATTGAGGAGCAAATACTTCAAAAAGTTTCAGATGATAATATATGGAAGCATCAGAAACAGATTGATTATGATACATTGTAAGTAATGATCATAGTATATATGTATTTGTAGTATGGTGCGTGGGCGGGTCAAAGGCGCCACCAGTGCTACAACTTCCAATAACCGCCAGTGCTACAACTTCCAATAACCGCATGGTAGGAAAATGTAGCACTGTGTGGGAATATATAGTACTGCACAGTATAATATGTATGGGCTTTCCTATTAACCACAAGCTTTGATAGAGACAAATAACAGCCTCAGCTACATACACTAGACATGTAACAATAATAATAGTGATAAATGAGATCTGATCATCTTACGCTGGCCACCTGCGCGACTTTTGAAATTTCATTTGATCCGCCCACGCACCACCACAAACCAATCAAAGCACTGTTGATTCGTAGATTACGGAAATTATTACACTCGGGACGGTCTCGA